TTGACCTCGTGATCCACCCACCTTGGCCTCCCAAAGTGCTGGGATTACAGGAGTGAGCCAATGTGCCTGGCGGCCAGGCTGGTCTTGAACTCCTGACCTCAAGTGATCTGCCTGCCTCAGCCTCCCAAAGTGTTGGGATTATATATGTGAGCCACCACACCTGGGATTAAAAAATAAAATCTATCAACAATACTAAAGTATAGATGAATGAATGAAGTTTATTTTTCATTGTGGGAACAATGATTATAGCTCCCATATCACAAAGCTATTTCTAGGATTTCGTGTTTTTGTTTTGTTTTGTTCTGTTTTTGAAACAGTTTCACTTTGTTGCACAGGCTGGAGTGCAGCGGCGCAATCTCAGCTCACTGCAACCTCCAACTCCTGGGTTCAAGCGATTCTCCTGCCTCAGCCTCCTGAGTAGCTGGGATTACAGGCGCCTGCTACCATGCCTGGCTAATTTTTGTATTTTTAGTAGAGATGGGGTTTCACTATGTTGGCTAGACTTGTCTTGAACTGCTGACCTCGTGATCCGCCTGCCTCGGCCTCCCAAAGTGCTGGGATTATAGGCATCAGCCACCCTGCCCGGCCTATTTCTAGGATTTCACAGGAGGATGTCCATAAAGCATTTGCCATGAAGGACCCACTTAATTCAGAGAACTTGTCACCACTGTACTAACCCTATGCCGTCCACTACAGGATCCACTAACTCTATGTGGTTATTTACATTTGAATTAATTAAAAACTTATGCTCAGTTTTTTTTTGTTTGTTTTTGTTTTTTGACATGGGGTTTTGCTTTGTTGCCCAGGCTGAAGTGTTGTGGCATGATCACAACTCACTGCAGTGTCGAAGTACTGAGCTCGAGAAATCCTCTCACCTCAGCCTTTCAAGTAGCCGAGACTAAAGGCCCACACCATATCACCTGGCTATTTTTTTTTTTCTTTGGTAGAGATAGGGGCTTGCTATGTTGCCCAGGCTGGTCTGGAACTCCTGGCCCCAAGTGATCCTCCCACTTCGGCTTCCCAAAGTGCTTGAGATTACAGGCATAAGCTGCTGTTGTCTGGCCAGAATGTCAGTTCTTTAATGGTACCAGCCATATGCCAAGTGCAAAAAAAAAAACACCCCACAAAACACATATGCAGGTCAGATGCAGTGGCTCATGCCTGTAATCCCAGCACTTTGGGAGGCCGAGGTTGGTGGATCACCTGAAGTTGGGAGTTCAAGACTGGCCTGGCCAACATGGTGAAATCCTGTTTCCACTAAAAATACAAAAAAAGTTAGTCAGGTGTGGTGGCAGGCGGTCCCAGCTACTTGGGAGGCTGAGGCACGAGAATCACTTGAACCCGGGAGGCAGAGGTTGCAGCGAGCCGAGATCACACCACTGCACTCCAGCCTGGGTGATAGTGCAAGATTCCGTCTCAAAAAAAAAATAATAATGATGATAATAATAATAAATAAAAATATAAATATAGGCCGGACACTGTGGCTCACGCCTGTCATCCCAGCACTTTGGGAGGCCAAGGCCGTCAGATCACGAGGTCAGGAGATACAGACCATCCTGGTTAACATGGTGAAACCCCATCTCTACTAAAAATACAAGAAAAAATTAGCTGGGCGTGGTAGCGGGCGCCTGTAGTCCCAGCTACTTGGGAGGCTGAGGCAGGAGAATGGAGTGAACCTGGGAGGCGGAGCTTGCAGTGAGCCGAGATCGTGCCACTGCACTCCAGCCTGGGCGACAGGACGAGACTCTGCCTCAGACAAAACAAAAACAAAACAAAACAAAAAATATATATAAACATTAGCCAGGCGTGGTGGTGCACGCCTGTAGTTCCAGCTACTTGGGAGGCTGAGGCAAGAGAATCGCTTAAACCCAGGAGGCGGAGTTTGCAGTGAGCTAAGATGACACCACTGCACTCCAGCCTGGGTAAGACAGTGAGACTCCATATTAAAAAAAAAAAAAAAAAAAAAAAGAAAGAGAAAAAGGAAAGAAAGAAAGAAAGAAAAGAAGAACAGAAAGAAAGAAAGAAAACCCCACGGAGCCAGGGGCTACTGAATTGGACGGTGCTGATACGGAACATGCCCATTATTGTGGGAAGTTCTTCTGGACAGCACTGTGGCAGACAACGAAGAATGTAACTATTCGTTCAGTTCTCTCACCTCCTTTGGGCCCCTCTGCAAATGACATCTCTTCAACCTTCTCAACCATCCTCTTTCAAACAGCAACTTCCACATTCCCTGTGCTCTTTCCCTAATTTGCTTTTCTTAGCCTGTTCACTTGACATGGAAATCACCTGGTTTCTCTTCTGACTCCCCATCCAGCACTGCACAGTCTGATGCAGTAGCGACTGGTAATGTGTGATGGCTGAGCTCTTGAAATGCAGCCAGTCCGACTTGAGATGTGCGGTGCTGTGCTGTGCTGTGGAGTATAAAATACATACTAGATTTCCAAAGCAGGCAGCCAGTCCGACTTGAGATGTGTGGTGCTGTGCTGTGGAGTATAAAATACATACTAGATTTCCAAAGCAGGCAGCAGCCGAGCGCGGTGGCTCATACCTGTAATACCAGCACTATGGGAGGCCAGGGCGGGTGGATCACTTGAAGTAAGGAGTTCGAGGCCAGCCTGGGCAACATGGTGAAACCCCATCTCTACTAAAAATACAAAAAATTAGCCGGGCATGGTGGCAAATGTCTGTAATCTCAGCTACTCGGAAGGCTGAGGCAGGAGAATCATTTGAACCCAGGAGGCAGAGGTTGCAGTGAGCAAAGATCGTGCCACTGCACTCCAGCCTGGGCAACAGAGTGAGACTCTGTCTCCAAACAAACAAACAAACAAAACCAAGCAGGGCAACATGGTGAAACCTCATCTCTACTAAAAATACAAAAATTAGGCTGTAATTCCGGCACTTTGGGAGGGCGAGGCAGGCAGATCACCTAACATCAGGAGTTCGAGACCGGCCTGACCAACAAGGTAAAACCCCATCTCTACCAAAAATACAAAAATTAGCTGGGCGTGGTGGCGCACGCCTGTAATCCCAGCTACTCGGGGAGGCTGAGGCAGAAGAATCACTTTGAACCTGGGAAGCAGAAGTTGCGGTGAGCTGAGATGCTGCCACTACACTCCAGCTTGGGTGAGACAGACAGAGATTCGTCTCAAAAAAAAAAAAAAAAAATAGCGGGGTGTGGTCACGGGTGCCTGTGATCCCAGTTACTTGGGAGGGAGGCTGAGGCAGGAGAATTGCTTGAACCCGGGAGGGGAAGGTTGAAGTGAGCCGAGATCCCACCACTGCATTCCAGGCTGGGCAACAGAGTGAGACTCTGTTTCCAAAAAAAAAAAAAAAAAAGCATGCAGGAAAGAAAAAGGACACACAAAGTATCTTGTATTTTGGAAAGATAATAGATACAAAATATCCTGTATTTTAAAATATTGACTACATGTTTAAATAATAACATATTCAACATACTGAGTTAAATAAAACACATTACAATTAACATCACCTGTTTCTTTTTACTTATTTTTAAATATGGCTAACAATTTAATTAATTTAAATTACATACCTCGCTGACAAATCTGTGGCTTGCTTATACTTCTTTTTTTTTTTTGAGATGGAATTTCCCTCTTTCACCTAGGCTGGAGTGCAGAGGCAGGATCTTGGCTCACTGCAACCTCTGCCTTCCAGTTTCAAGCGATTCTCCTGCCTCAGCCTCCCGATTAGCTGGGATTACGGATACCCGCCACCACGCCCAGCTAATTTTTGTATTTTTAGTAGAGATGGGGGTTTACCATGTTGGCCAGGCTGGTCTTGAACTCCTGACCTCGTGATCTGCCTGCCTTGGCCTCCCAAAGTGCTGGGATTACAGGCATGAGCCACTGTGCCTGGCCTCCTTTGCTTATATTTCTATTGCACCGTGATGATCCAGAATGCTAGCTACCATAAAATATAACAATTAAATGTTAAATTTAACATTTAATTGAGCTAGGTGTGGTGGCACATGCCTATAATCCCAGCTACTTGGGAGCCTGAGGCAGGAGGACTGCTTGAGGTCAGGAGTTAAACCTGTGGGATGATTGCACCTGTGAACACCCACTGTACTCCAGCCTGGGCAACACAGTGAGACCCAATCTGTAAAAAGCTTTTCTAGGCCAGATGGTGGCTCACGCCTGTAATCCCAGCACTTTGGGAGGCCGAGGTGGGCGGATCAGGAGGTCAAGAGAGAGAGACCATCCTGGCCAACACCGTGAAACCCCGTCACTCTAAAAATACAAAAATTAGCTGGTTGTGGTGGCACGCGCCTGTAGTCCCTGCTACTCAGGAGGCTGAGGCAGGAGAATCGCTTGAACCCGGGAAGCGGAGGTTGCAGTGAGCCGAGATCACGCCACTGCACTCCAGCCTGGTGACTCAGCAAGACTCCTTCTTAAATAAATAAATAAAAATAAAAAGATTATTATTTTCAGATCACACACACACAAAAAAAAGAAAAACAAAATTAGGCAGAGTGCAAGCATGCCTGTAATCCCAGCTCTTTGTGAGGCGGACGCAGGAGAATCACTTGAGTCCAGGAGTTCCAGACCAGCCTGGGCAACAGAGCCAGAGCCCATCTTTATTTAAAAAATTAAAGCATAAAAAAATTAAACATGTAGGTTGTATGTATTTCTACTAGGGCATTCTAGGTCAGCGCTGGCTTAGAATGTTAGCCCAATAAGACCAGGTATTTTTTTTCTGCTCACTGCCCATACAGTGACTGACACACAGTAGGCGCTCAATGACATTTTAATGAATGAATGAGAGGCTGAGCCTTCGGGAACTGGCTTGCTCAAAGAGCCAGCACCGATGGTGCTCTGACCACGTTCCATGCCCCGCCTCCTCAGCGCACCAGAAAAGGAAACTGAGGCCCGGCAAGGTGACGTCAGCTCCTGCCCAACCGCACTACGTGAGGAAACGTCGGGGCCGGGATTCGAACCTAGGTTTTGTACGCGTAACCCCGGCGCGCTGACCGTTCCTACCTTACTGGGCGGCGGCGGCAGGTCACACAGGTGCGGGACATACGGCGAGCGCTCAACCAGAGGCGCCGCTCCTCAGCCACCTCCTTCCGTCAGCCTCCGAGGTCGGGAACCCAGTCCGCCCCCTCCGCGGCCATCGCTGGCTGCCCGCGTCTCCGCCGGCCGCGGAGCCCTTCGCAGGCGGCGCCGACCGGAAGTCCCGCCTCTCCCGCGCGCCCCGGGGTGCCGCGACAGCCACGACGGCCAATGAGCAGCGCGACGTGGCGGACGCCGACCAATGGGCGCGCGCGCCGGGGGGGCGTGTCCGGTCCGCGGGCCGGAGCGGGTCGTGCGCGCTGAGGAGGAGCCGCTGCCGCCGTCGCCGTCGCCGCCACCGCCGCCACCGCTACCGAGGCCGAGCGGAGCCGTTAGCGCCGCGCCGCCGCCGCCTCCCGCCCGCCCCGGAGCAGCCCCGGGCCCGCCCGCCCGCGTCCAGGTGAGGCGGTGGGGGGCCTTCGGCGGCGCCCGACGGGGTAGGCCGCGGCAGGCCTGAGCTCGCCTGGCCTGGCCGCGGGGCGCCCGCGGGCCTGCACCGGCCGAGGCCCAGGCCGCGCCGGACCGCGGGAGGGGACGCGCGCTGGGGCCGCGGCGGGCGGGTCGGGGCGGGCCGGTGTAGGCGCCGGCAACAGGCCCTGGGGCCGGATTCCTCTGGCGCCTCGAGGGACGGGCGAGGGGAATACGGCGTGGGCATGCGCCGGGGGGCCGGGCTGCACGGCCGGGGGCTCAGGTCGCCTTGGAAGCCCGGGCTCCGGGGGCGGGAGAGTGGGGCCAGCGGCGGGGGGAGCGCGGGGAACGCTTTGAGCGCGCAGAGGTCACGGCCCACGGGCTCGCTCCCCCGGGAAATCCCACAGATTCTTTTGTGGTCGTTGTCAGAGCACCGCGGCCGGTGCGAGGTCCTTTGAGAAGTGTGCAAACCCTTCAGTAGATACACGGGAGTCCTGGGGGGGGGAAAAAAAATCTAAACTGCATCTTTTTTTGAGCGCCATCTCTAACAAAGCTGTTTGTGGGGCGTGGGACGTTAGGATTTGTAAAATATGTGTGTGTGTCTGTTGGAAACACAAACTGCACACAGTTGAACAATGGGGGATGGATGCCCTTCCTTCCTTTTCCGGTGCTCTGGGCTGCCGGGCTTGTTAAAATGGGTTTTGGTCCCTACTGTGTGCAGGGCAGGTGGGGAAGAACTTCTGCACAACTTCTGTACGGGCTTCCCGTGGTGGGACTGAGCCCCCTTGCTGGAAAGTGTTCATCTAAGATCCGGATGGCCAGAAGTGGGAAGATCAGGAGAGTGACCTGGCTAGAGAAGGGTTTCTCAACGTTAGCACTACTGACGTTCGGGGTCAGATAGTTTTTGGTTGTGGGTGGGGGCCTTCCCTGTGCAATGTAGGAAGTTGAGCCGTATTCCTGGCCTCTACCCACTAGATGCCAGCAGTATCCCCATCCCCCAAGTCGTGAGGATCAACAAGATCTCCAAACATTGCCAGATGTCCCGGGTTGCGGGGGAGGGGTCTCTTCCACTCTCTCATACACGCAGGTGAGAACCATTACTGAACTAAATCCCTTCCTCCAAAAGTTCTAATGCCCTGGGAGATGCTCCCAAGACCTCGAACAAGCTTGACTCTGTTGAGCCTTAGTTTTCTTATCTGTAAAATGGGAAGGACAACAGTGTGGTGCAGATTGAAGGGGTTGAGAAGCCTGTTGCGTTGTGCGTGGTCTGTACCTGGTAGGCACTGAATAAATGATGTTATACATAACCACCAGTATTTATTGAGGATTTACTATGAGCTCGACACTTTGTGGACGTTTGTCTCCAGTCCTTGAGGCGGATGATGTTATAATTTCCATTGATTTCCATTTTAGAGATGAAGAAACTGAGGCTTAGATGGGTCACTTCATATGACCAGTCTCATGCACTAAAGTGGCTGCGCCGGGGTTTGAACTCTGATTCAAAACCCTTACTCTTAACCACCCGGTTGTATTGCTCCCATAATCGCAAGGCTCCAGGACACTCCACTCAGTTGTCATCAAGTATTTTCTGTGTGCAAAGTTTTGTGCTGGGATCTGTTATCAAATTCTGCAACTTCAAGGCCCACAAAGAGGTTGAGATACGTGAACGTCTCCAAATGTGGAAGGAAATAATACTGTTTATGTTGACGCATTGGTTTTGAGCAGACAGAGTTTCAGTTTGGATGTGTTGAGTCTGAGATCATGGTGCTTTTTTTTTTTTTTTTTTCTTTTTGGAGACACAGTTTCACCCTTGTAGCCCAGGCTGGAGTGCAGTTGTGCCTATCTCAGCTCACTGCAACCTTTGCCTCCCGAGTTCAAGCGATTCTCCTGCCTCAGCCTCCCGAGTAGCTGGGATTACAGGCGGCCGCCACAACGCACGGCTAATTTTTTGTATTTTTAATAGAGACAGGATTTTGCCTTATTGAGCAGGCTGGTCTCGAACTCCTGACCTCAGGAGATCCATCTGCCTTGGCCTCCTAAAGTCCTGGGATTACAGGCGTGAGACACCGCACCCAGCCCATGATGCTATTTCAAGTAAAAGAAATGAGAATTATGAAAAAACTGTTTGTTTATGAAAAAAACAAGAAATTATGAAAATGTATTGCCTCTCTCACTCGCGGCTTCCCATCTCTTCCCCTTTCCACACTCCAGCATGAGTTCTGTTCTGTAAATGCACATCTAATTGTGTCCCTTCTGATTTAAAATCTTTGGGCAGAAAAAAGACGTTTTCTTGACCTCTTTCGTGGCTTAAAAGATAAAGTTAGAAGCCCTTAGTTTGGAGTACCAGTTCCTTCACACCCAAACGCTCCCTGCCCCTGCATGTAGACGCCAAACTCTAACCCTCCCTGCCTGTTGCAGCCTCCACCTGGAGACAGATCTCTTCCACCTGGAGATCCGTTGCTCAGGCTCCATGGCTCAGCCCGGAGCTCACTGGCCGTTTGAAGCCTCGTCTGACTGCCACTCTTCCTCCCCCCAACCGGAATCAACTGTTCCCTCTTTAGTGTTCCCATCCCGTTCAGTTTATTGAATCGAATTCAAGGCTGAATGGCAAGAGAAGCGCAGCGCCCGACTGGCGCCCCTAGGTGGCAGTAGCGAGGCGGTGCGGCCAACCCGAGCTGTGGGTCAGGGGAAGACCGACGGAAGCCAGCCTGTGGGAGGGAAGTGAGGTTCGCTCCCGCCTCTGAACGACTCTCCCTGCTCCGCTGCTGTGTCCTGGCCCACGCTAGGCTCTGGAGAGTGTGCATGATGTGTGTAGGTCATCTCAGCCCATTCTGATGAGTGTGGTGAGAGTGATGCCCTGGCTGATGTGGAAGCCCAGAAGAGGGACCTGGATGGGCACAGGAGAGCCCAGAATGCTTCCTGGAGGAGAGGAGGCAGTAGCGGTGGGGAGGAGTTACCCAGGCAAAGACAATGGGGTGGGGCTTTGTAGGATACAGCGAAGACCGGAGGTGGAACATCGCAGTGTTCAGAGAACATCGTGTGTTCAAAGAACCACGTGGGTTCTTTAGGGGCAAGAAGGATGAAGTGGGTAGTCGTGGCAGGAGTGCTCAGGTGGCCGGTGGGCAGAGGGCTTGGCTGTTACTCTGCGGCTAGGCCAGAGGGTGGCTACTGAGCAGTTTTAGTTCACTGCTCACCCTGGTGGAGAGGCTGGGGGGAGACAAGGAGAAACTAGTCATGGGCTATTGCAATACTGAGGTGGCCCCGTAATGGCTGAACCGCTTGAGGGTCAGGACTGGGACTGCTTCTTTGTTTTGTATGCCTGATGCTATGCTCTGTGCCTGGCACGTGGTTGCTATTTTGTCTGTGCCAGGGAAAGGAAAGATTGGCAGACCACTCAGAAGTGACTGGATCCAGGTACCTGTCAGACAGACATCTGTGGCTGGGTGTAGTGGCTCACACCTGTAACCCCGACAACTTGGGAGGCCAAGGTGGAGGATTGCTCAAGGCCAGGAGTTCAAGACCATCCTGGGCAACAGAGTGAGATCCCATCTCTAAAAAAAAAAAAAAAAAATTTTTTTTTTTTTCACAGCAAGACATTTATGTCAGGGGAAGGAATCACAGGAGAGGGAACAATCCTGAACAACTCGATGGCCAGACTCATGTCATCATGAACAGAAACAGGCAGACTCAAGGAAGGGGAGTGACTAGGCGGGAGAAGACGAAGCTGGGTTTAGAGACACTGAGTTTGAAATCCCACTTAGGAGTCTGTCTAGGAGGAGGTGACGGGAATCTGTATGGGGATGGTGGCAGAGAGGTGGCAGGACAGTGAGAGATCTCACGTGTTAAACTGGCAGGACATGGTGCTTGATTAGGTCCAAGGGAGAGAGAGAGGTGGCTTGGGGGACAGGTGGGGCTGTGCCACCAAACGAAGTAATTCAGGGGGCGGAGGTGGTTTGAAGAGAGGGCAAGGGCAGGAGGAGAGGAGATGAAGGTGTTTGTAGCTGCAGACAGGGAGGTTGGGGAGACATACGTTCACCTTGATTTTGTTCATGAAGTGGGACTAGAGACAGGTACTCACTGTACCAGGCGCTGTGGAGCAGGGGGTGACATCCCCAGTGGAGGAAGCTGAAGCTCTGGGAAGGGGGAGCGACTTCTGCATAGTAGTTCAGCCGGTGAGCAGGAGACTTAGTGCCCAGCTCGGGCCTGCCAGACTCCAGAGTCCAGGGTTTTTTCCTGCCATTCCCTGTCGCTTTGCACTTCCGTGCGAGATCCCTGCAGTGGCCTTTGGCCTTGACCAGCCAGAAAGAAGCCAGAGCTCTTAGCAGGGCTGTGTGGTGCCTGGACTGGGCCATAGGCCAGCCACACCTGACCTGCTCCTGCCCCGGGCTTCTCAGCCTGGCTGATAGGGAATTGTCACTTAGCTGGAGCTGCTCCAGCCAGGCATCCTGCCCTTCTGTGGGCCATGGGCAGGGGCCTAGAAGAAGCCGGTGCTGTGTCCACCTGAGACCTCGCGTTGCGTGGCAGTTATAACTGGGTCAGGTGGTGCTTTAGGTTTTCTCTGGCAGCAGAGCATTTCCTGAATGACCTAAGCCTTTTTTACCTTGAACACTCAGAATGTTGCATCTGGAAAGGACCTTAACAATTACTGGGTCCAAGCCCTATCAGATGATGTGTGAAGTGTCAAGATTGAGCCTGAAGATAGATTTGACTGTTCTAGTTTTGCTCTGGCTCAAGTGGTTTAGAATACCTGCTCCATCATGATGCAATGAAAGCGATTCTCATACATGCCTGGTGGAAACAGCCTCTTTTTCTGTTACACATAAAGACGCACACATCTCTCTCCCCTGGATATGTGCTAGATGATCTACGGATGTGAACAACATCAGTGGTGTCACGTAGACAACCAGGATTGTTTAAAATAGTGCATTGGAGTCAAAAACCTTCAGAGATCATCCAGCCAATACTTCTCCCTGAGGTCAGGCACGCCTCTAA